TTTAAATTTCAAAGTTTAGGGACGATTGTTATCTCTATATGTTTTGGATTCGAATATCATCGATTGTAAGGTAATTGAATTTTCAGTGTCAGATTGTTGAGAGTTTTCAGAACATATATTACTGCTTGTAATCACCTTATACTAATAAAAAAAATTAAAGGTTAGGGTTCAAATTTAAGATTTGCAAGGATGAAAAAACATTTTAAAATGAGTTTGTATCGAGGGATAAAATTAGAATCAAATATCGAGAGAGAGATAATAATTTATTATGCATTTAACTTTGAAAATAAAGAGGGACAAAAGCTTTACTTGACCAATATTTGACTAAACGACATCGGTGGTAAATGAGTTGTTATTATTTTTTGAGGTCCATTATTTGAGCACCATGAGTATTAGGGATACGATCTATCAATGTCAAATGGTTGAGAGTTATCTGTAAATAAATATTATCTTGTACTTATCATAGATCAATTAAAAAAACTAACAAGAACTTGAAATATTATTCTTCCAAAATATTTTATGACATAATCCCTTTGGTCCAACAAATGGCTCTATCCTACTAAGAAGGCGTCTTCCTAGTGAGTTTAGAGCTTATAATATAAGAAAATATGATGGAATAAAGATGAATAGTTCGATTAATCGATCGAATATACTTGCTCATAATTAAATAAAATATTTAATTCAAATTCTCAATGCATTCTAATTATAACATTTAAATTTAAACGTATAGTACAATTTAATATCCAAAATAAAAGTTTAAAATATCTTCAAATCTAAATCCAAATCCAAATACACAATTATTATATATATTAAGTGTTGAAAATTAATTCCATATTATCTTCAAAGGCAGTTGAAATATCATATCTAAAAGAGAATTCAAGGTCACTTCCAATGTTGTGCAAAGGACAAGATTTTGCTCCACTCACTCCCATTTTGCTTTTGTCTAATTCTTTCTTTGAATAATACTCTTACACGTTGCATTCCCAAGCTTGCAAGTTTACTTTTAATTGTTCCTCCAATAAAATCCCATCTATATGACACATCATTTGTTATAGGACAAACTGCGTATTTAGTACCTAAGCTATTAGTTTTGACCCGTTTTAATACTTAAACTTTTATTTATTTTTTTAAAAGCGTACCTAATGTTTAGTTTTCATTTCATTTTAGTACCGGTGTTAAAAACTTAACGCGTTGAGTACATGAGCTATCATTTTTAGTCCGTTTTAGTACCTAAACTTTCAAAAAAAATTCAAAATCTAACGTTAAATTTTGAATGAGGTACTACAATGAAACACAAACTAAAGTTTTTAACAACGGGTACTAAAATGAAACAAAAACTAAACTTCAGGTATGGTTTTTAAAAAATGAAAGTTTAAGTACTAAAATAAATCAAAGTTGATAGTTTAGATACTAAATACGCAATTTACCCTTCATTATATTAATGATTAATTCGATTTTTCAAACTACAATTTTATATACCAAACCTATTATACACAAATTTAAAATTAAATTCATGTAACTTTATTTTATTTATAATATAAAATTTGATTCACTAGAATAACATCAGGTTTAAGTAGCGGATTGAACATAACTGATAAATAAAAGAGTAAACTACGCATTTAGTACCTAGACAATCAGTTTTGGTCCGTTCTAGTACCTAAACTTTTAATTTTTTAAAAATTAAAAAAAAAAATCAAATTTTAACGTTAAATTTTAAATGGGGTATTAAACTGAAATAGAAACTATAGTTTAGGTACTAAATGCGTAGTTTACCCTAATAAATAAAAGAGACCATGAAAGTAATGGCGTGACAAGGAGTGATGACAATGCCATTGAACCTTATAAATATGCACATGCTAGGGTTAGGGTTAGTCATCAAACCTCATAAATCCAGCTACTTCTTTTCACGTTTCTTTATTGTGTACCTCAACGAGGAGAGCTTGCATTCTCTTGGAGCTTTCTTCTAGCGTTGGATGAGAAAAGAAAACCCCATTTCCAAGACGAATTACTTTTCTTTTCTTTTTTGCTCAGAGGAGAGGATGAAGAAATGTCAAGTGGTGCTGAAAAGTGGGAGAAGAAGAAGTTGTAGCACTTCATCGACAATGATTACGAATGTGCGATACGGGGAGTGCCAGAAGAATCAAGCGGAGAACATCGGAGGGTACGCCTTCGACGGTTGCCGGGAATTCATGGCGAGCGACTCGGAAGGGACGAACGGGGCTTTGACGTGCGCCGCTTGCGGTTGCCACCGGAACTACCATAGAAGAGAAGTGGAAACCGAGGTGGCATGTGAGTATACCTAATTCTTCGTATGGTCAATAGAAGAAACAACAACAAAATAGAGTAAAAAAAGGCATTTTATAAATATGAATTGATTAGCTGATTATTGTTGTTTGAAAGGTTGTTTTGGATTGTGCTCTTGAAACCTGGTTGATTGAAGGCGTAAGTTATTAATTTATCGTTCATCCGTTTTATCGAATAATAATACAATTTATTTAATAGCACCGTGTTTATCTCGACCGCAGACATAGAAAATATTATAGATATATCAACGATAAACAAAATCGGAACCGAAAATATAACTATATAATGCACATGGTCCCAACTTTAAAATACCATGAGACACTCATGGTGATCATGTACATATATCTTGCTCATGAAGCATGAGCTGTCTTGGCAATCTATTGTAAGTTATGTTTTGGATTCAAGGTGATGACACCCTTTGTTCTTTTAATTCTTTTTTGCAACTTGGAATTTATTATCAATACAAAAGGAGGGAATTTCTAAATAACTTAAATTATATTGTATATATTAGTGAAGAAATTAATTTGATAAAAAAAATAGATATGATTAAGATTTTAGGATTTAATATGCTTTATTATATTCTCTTATATTTATTTTCGATATAATTTAAATTTCTATGTTCTTGCTTTACGATCTTAAAATAAACACATTATTCTCATTTATTTTAGAAGACCTACACATTTGATATAAAATTATTTGTCAATAAAATGATGTATTTTTGGGTAAATTACGTGTTTAGTACTTAAACTATCAAATTTAGTCCGTTTTAGTAAACTTTCTATTTTTAAAATCATACCTAAAGTTTAGTTTTTATTTTTATTTTAGTACCCGTTCAAAATTTAAAAGTTTAAATTCTAAAACAGACTAAAACTGATAATTTAGATACTAAATACGTAGTTCATCCATTTTTCATCTTTCGACAATGGAACAGGTTATTCTAATATAGTGTCTCTGTCCTTGCCTTTTATTTCATATAATAATAATATATTTGGTAAAGGATAACTTATCCTTGGGAATAATTTAGAATTTGGAATATATATTTTATGTTTCAAAAGGCCCACATGTATCCAATCATGTTCTCTCAAATTGTTGTCTTTATATATTTTATTTTTCCTTTACTGGTTTCTTTATGGTCACTAAAGCCTTTAAACTTAATAGTGGCCTCCATTTTGTGGGGTAAGTGGGACTTTAGAAGGAAAAAAAGAAAGCAAATAATACAAGGATAAATCCAAAAGTTTCAAATAGACTTTAATTATTTTATTATTATTGAAAAAAAGTCAAGTTTTATTAGTAAACCATGCTCATCTTTGTATTTCCTTATTTTTCTTAAATATTGTTTTCTATAAATATTTATCACATATTTAAAATAAATATCATCCGAAATATGATTTTTGAAAAATAAAAATATTATATCCGAACATATAGTACACAACCATCACGATAAAATTAAGGATCGACATGGATTTTTGTTCACTCGAATTCTGAGGACATTATACTTCTTCATCTGTCACCTGACCCAACTTGAGTTTAAAAAGATTCTATTTGACCCAGAATTTCACTCAATTTTTAAGATAAAACTAGGGGTGTTCAAAATTCGATTTTAACCGAATTAATCAACCGAATCGAATTAGTTCGATTAATTCGGTCGGCCACCGAATTAATTCGGTCAGAGAACGGTTAAAGATTTTTTTTTGAATTCGGTTAACGGTTAATTCGGTTCGAAATCAGTTAATTAACCAAATTAACCTTTAAATATAATTATATTAAGAGGCTCAATCCATTTAAAATCTATTTAAAACCCAAATCAATATTAATTAATTAAAATAATATCAAAACTAAATGCAAAATGTTTGAATCAAATTAATTAGATATTATTTATAATTAGATATTATTTAAATTAATTATAAATTGTTTTTTTTAATTAAAAAATATTAAATTTTAAAAATCTAAAAAATTTCGATTAATTCGAAAATTAACCGAAATTTATTCGATTCGGTTAATATTTTCGAAAAAAAGTTCGATTCGATTAACGGTTAAAGAAAAAAAAAATTCGATTAATTCAAAAATGATAATTCGGTCGGTTCGGCCACTGAATTAACCAAATGAACACCCCTAGATAAAACACGCAACTAACCCAACTTGAGTTTAAAGAGATTCTACTTGACCCAAAGCCCTACTCGATTTTTAAGAAGAAGAAAAACTCGCAACCAAACGTCATAGTGGATTTGTCGTGAATGGGGTCGGAATCCTATCCTCGTTTAACTTGCCTTTAGGTTGACCGATGGGGATCAAACATCATAGGAGAAACAGGTCCCAAATCTTGTCTGGTCTGCAAAGACTTTGAACGAGCGAGGACTACAAAGACCACTGATCTCATCTCAGAGCAACATCGATGACTCCCGTGCCCGAAACCCGATCTGGTTGAACCACCAACAGAAGCATACAAGACAATGATGGGGAAATTTTAACTACGTCGTCTGAGACAGCACCAGCTGAAGCGTATGGTTCGAACGGGATTCGAGATTCGAATTCGCAAATCTGAATCTAACAAAGGAAAACCGAATCCATGTATATCGTAATTCACGGTATTCAAATCTGTAAAATCAAATCCGATCGTGCAGAATATTCATTACTTTTACTATCCATTCATAGTCATAATCATGACTATTTCTCCAACTGTAGACAATGTTCCTCATGAAGAAAAAGCAAAGTGATGAGATTCAAGTTTCCTGTACAATCAATAACTCTGAAAATTGCATCCTTGAAACATGGAAAAGAGGATCCCATGTTGAATTCTTCGCCTTCCCTAAAATACATGAATTCTACACCTGCGTCCGATACATATTCGGACTTTATATGGAGTTAGGATCCTCCATATATATGGAAAAACTTGTGAGAAAAGAAAATTGAATAGACCTATGCCGGACACATACCTGTATCCAACACTTATGTCGAGTCCAAATTGCATAATCTTCTTCGCGCTATTCAAGTGGCTCCTGTTGGGGTGTGACTGAAGGTCCAGGTACCATACTGTAATGTGTGGCCCAAGGTTGCGCTGCTTGTATCATTGCTGCAACATCAGCTGCTGCAATAGCTGCGGCTTCCTGATTCAATCGGAAAAAAAAAGAAAAGAAAATGCACAAAACTAAATACCAAAAAAAAGTTCTTAAGTGAAATACAAATTAAAATAACTTGAATCAGCTAAAACGACATGAGTCGATTTAGCTTTAGCTTATTAAAGCTGCATGTGTATGATTAGTACAAGGAATGGCATAGGATGTCATTCATGGAATGCTTTTTCAGAGCTATGTTACTCGACACTTCGGTTTCTTTAAGTAATCAAACCCGAAAAATATTCAGCCGTGGATAACGGAGATATGACCCTCAAGAGATCCTCTAAATACATAAAAGAACTAGGAAGAAGTTGAACATTCTGGTAACAGAAGCACATTCTTAATGAGACTTGAAAGACGGATACAAATCTATATTTTCAGTATTCTTCTTCTGTGATCTAGATCAACCTCGACACAACCAAGTAAAACAGTGCTCTCATTTTTTCAAGAAAGTCAGAGCCATTACCCGTTGCTCCCGACGGCGCTGCAAGATGCTGATAGCCCAGGCCACGACGTAACAGGGAAGAAGAAAGCCAGCAGCACGAAGCATGAAAAGCTAGATGACAATAAACAAAAAAAGAAAGTTAGAATCAAACAATTAAGAAATTGCGAATTACAAAAATGATCAGCACAAATCCAAGCCATGCTTACAGAGATATATTGAGATACATCATCGTCCGTGTCTCCATTGGTTAGGTACAAAGCATGCCTCAAGAATAGAAGAGCCAGAAGCTGCAAACAAACAGATGAAATAAGATCTAAACAGAATAAGACAAGGATATTAGCAGTGATTCCTACTACAGATTGGCAGGGACAATAAGGACTGGAGAAATGTTCAATGAGATGCAAAATTGCGACCATCTTTGCCATCAAAGCAAAAAACAATAATTTGAGATTTAGGGCTCAACTCGATAACCTTAACCACAAGTCGAAATGAGGCTGATGACTAGAACACTGCCAAAGCCGGGGGAAGATGCAGGCAAACCATACAATAGATAATGCATTGCATAACACACAAAATGGCTTGGACATTGATATTCGATCTATTGTGTGCAGCAAACTGGTAAAATAAGTAAAAGGAAGTACGGAATCACCAAGAATTTTACTTAACAAAAGCCAATAAGGACCTATTTTACTCGAGCTTAGGTTTGAGTGTTGGATACAGGTATCTACCCATTATCGGTATGTTCGAATCTTTTCTAACACTCTCCATATGTTTGTATGGTCGTGGTAGGGCTATATCTGAATCCATGTCAGACACAAGCGTTGGACAAGTATACTTCAAGAAAAATTAAGGGACAAATCAACATAGGATAGTTAATAATTTGTTTTTTTCCATAGAGGAAACAAAAGCATACAGTTAGTGTAGCAGCACGGAAAAATTCAGTTCCACTAGAATCGTTATTGGAATATTCATCATAGCCTGGCTCCAAAAGACGGCGTTCTGCTGCCACTGCTAAGATCCGTTGGTCGTGTAAGTCCAAAGGAGCACCAGAGAGAGTCCACTCACTGTATCGATAAAAAAAATAAAAAATTCAGAGGTCAAAGGTGATTAGCATAAAATAGCAACCCAACCTACAGATCACTGAACAGGTTCGGATACAGATCCTCACAAACAGGAACTGGTCCAAGAAATATCAAAGTTTAAATTGCAGTAACAAGACCAGCACTGATGACAAAACAGGAAAAGAAAAAGCTAACATAGTTTGAGCGACACTGATCTTTATCATGTCTATGATGGGTAACTACATGCACGCTTGTGAGACTTGCCTGATATCAATTGTAGCAACCTCTGGCGGAGGAGGTGGTGACATATATCCCGGTTCGTAAGACTGCAAATTATTTTTTTTGGAGGGAAATGTTAGTAAAGTCGCCTAATAACTCAACAAAAACTAAACTATTTCAATCAATAAGATAGATGATGACTATGTTTGTTGTCAGAAAGAAAAGTTTAACCAAATCGAGATATCATATGAATCTTCCCACAAATACATAGATGATCACACATATTTGATATACCATATTGACAACAAAAGTCACCGAGATATCATATGAATCTTCCAACATGCACCAGAGACCCGTGGCTCAAATATTTGTAAATGCAACTTTACCCCATTGTTGTTAATGTACAAAACTAACCAGTGATTCATCAACAGAAAAGAAAGGAAAAAGAAACCTTAAAAATCCCAACACTTGTTTATATTAATGAATTATGCAAATAGGTACATGTAAAATATGAACATAAAAAGCAGCAGATTTTGTTTATCCTAGATGAAATGACGAAGACAGCAACATTCCCAGTGCAGGGGTATACCTGATGACATATCTCACAAATTATATCTCCCTTCTCATCGCACCAGCGCTGAACGCATTTCCTGTGAGCAAACTGGATATAAAAAAAATGTGTCAGCCACAGCAGGAAGACGAAACCATATCGTAATTAAGCTGGTACACTATAAATCTAAAAATTTCCCAAAACAAATAAATACCTTCAAACTGCCACTGCACAAACAAGGTGCCTCCAAATTCTTAATGATGTCCTCATCCTGGCAGATACGGCATTCAACCGTCTGGAGGAGTGGTTCTTCTTCATCACACGAACCATGTTCTTCAACTTCCTCCACATCGATAGCACAAACATCTTGATCAGCAACTATAGAAGAACCGTTACCCGAAGATCCCACAACTTCGGTTTCTTGCACTGATAACAAACTTTCGGGTTTCGTAAGGCGGTCCACACAGAATACGAGACGATCACTCATTTTTGCAAGAAAGGGTTCTGATAACACACAAAAATGCAGCAAGAATTCCCATTAAAATCAGAATATGCATATGAAGCTGAAAGTAGACTGCAAAACATACTTCAAAAACTAACAAACAAGTCTCTGACTATAAAATTTAATGCTAGATTCAACTGCTCCTACTCAAAATCTTCAAAATTTTTCCTTTTTGAATCTCCCACAGAAATTGGGGGAAAAACCCAAACTATTTCCTTCATTTTCAGGATAACCAAACAATCCAACATAATTCCCAAAATTAAAAAAAAATACCAAAATTATGATCGGAGCTGAACAAACCCATTAATCAAACAAATTCAGAACATAAAAAATAAAAATAATTACAACAAAAAATCAGTTTCTATCGGGAGTCTGAATCTGATATGCTCTTTTAGCTTCCCTCTTTGTAAATATCTATAACGAAGACTCCAACCCCGGAAGACTTTCCTTTGTAAAACCAATGGGTTTCCTTGCTTGGAAATTAATCAAAATCAATAATTGAAAGCTTCCATTTTTCTTTCCCGTTTTTATATATTAAATACATTCAGTAAAATTAATCAATCGGTTTACTATTTTACCAGTACTCGGGAGGCTCGGTTTAAACGAAGTTTTAGGTGGTGTTTGGTTTCGCTTTAATGTTTAGGAGTGAATTAGAATTTGTGAAGGAATTGAAATCTGTCAGGAATTAGAATCAAATTTTATATTATGTTTGGTTGGTAGAAAATTGAATTGGAATCCAATTTCATATTCTGTTTGGTTCGTAGACATGTCAGATGAATTTGATTTCAGTAATGTAAAATAAAATGATTGTCTTCTTGTTTTTTTTCTTCTTAATTTTAGTTTGTTTTATAAATTAAATGTAGTAATATATTATAAAAAATTTAAAAAAAATTAAATTTTAATTTTATTGATTGATTATTTATTTCAATAAATTATAAAAATCATGCTAATAAACATCGTAAGTTAAAATCATCCTAATTAGGGATGACCATGGGTCGGATTAGGTAGAGTGGGTTAGGTAGGGTTCTTGGTCCACCCGACCTGACCCGAGAATAAGGGAACCTCCATATGAGACCCTACCCGACCCGAATATATGAATTAGAAATCCGACCCGACCCGAAATAATAACCAAAATATTTTTATTCAATAAAAACAGTGACTTAATTGAAAAAAAAATATATACAGAGGGGTATTATTGTAATTATTCATAAATATATAATGTAAAATTATATATATTTTTGGGTCGGGTATTTTTCACCCTAAACCCGAACTCGACCCGACCCGAATATCACACTTAAAAAAATCGACCCGACCCGACCAAAATAAAGTTTCACCCGACCCGAATATATGAATTAGAAACCCGAATATATGAATTAGAAACTCAACCCGACCCGAAATAATAATAAAAAAATTTTATTCGATATATGAATAAGTTACCAAAAGATTGACGAGGGTAGTATGGTCAAATTTCAATTCCCTCCAACAAGGGAATTGAATTCTATCATATAATAGATGTAATTCACTTTCTCTCATTTGATGGAAAGTTAAAGCCATGAGTGATTCCAATTCCCTTGGAAAACTTGAACCAAACATGGGAAAATGGTAGAATTGGATTTCAATTCCCCCTAATTCCAAGGGATTCATGCCAATTAAACGTTACCTTAGAGATTAGGGTCGATAACGCCGGCAAAATTTCCGCAACAGGTCAAGCTGGTAAAAATATTGGTTTCTTTGATCATTTTTAAAATTAATTTGGAAATTTACGGTATTTATTTGCTAAAGTGGTATTGTGATTTACACTCAAGTTTAACAGAGTACTAAGTGAAGTAACTGAACTTGTTATTCATCAAGGTAGTACATCAGTTCTTTTATACATGAAAGCTTGCATAACAGCTTTACCAGACTCGTAACCAACCTCTAACTGCTTGACTAATCTTGAACAACAACTAACTAACTCACAGTTCCCACATACACTAGTTGCCGCTCCTACCACGTATGCACTCATACTTCAACATTCTCCCCGTCATTCTCAGCTCTCTCCTTCTCTGCCACCTGCACTTGTTGTCGAAACAACATATGAGCAGATTTTGGCAACGGTTTTGTCAGCCCATCAGCAACCTGGTGCTCTGCAGGTAAGTAGTTCACTTGAATTGCTCCACAAGCCACCTTTTCACGTACAAAATGTATATCCAACTCTATATGCTTCGACCGAGCATGGAACACCTGATTTGCGCTCATGGCAACCGCACTAGTATTGTCACTCCAGACTATAGGAGTTATAGCAACCGTTTCACCCATATCAGAAAGTAACGACCGAATCCATACTACCTCAGCTACTGTATCAGCAATGCTGCGATATTCGGCCTCTGTAGTCGAGCGAGCCACAGTTTTCTGTCTCCTAGCACTCCACGACACCAAGTTACACCCAAGGAACACACACGAGCCCGAGACTGACCTGCGGTCATCAACGTTGCTGGCCCAATCAGCATCAACAAACGCAGTCAGACAGCAGGATTCAGGCACAGAAGTCGGTCGAAACACCAAGCCATAGTCAACTGTTCCACTTAAGTATCGCAAGATCCGCTTCACAGCAAGCCAGTGACCATCGCACGGTCGATGCATATACTGGGCCACTCTACTAACACTGAACGCTATATCTGGTCTCGTATGACTCAGATATAACAGGGAACCAACCACACTTCTATACATACATGCATCTGTAAGCAGCTTCCCAGCGTCACACGTTAGCTTAGGCGAGACTACCATTGGCGTTGGTGCTGGTTTAGCACCAAGCATTTCTGTCTGCTCAAACAACTCACAAATAAACTTGTGCTGACTCAAAACTAGTCGATCAGACAACCTCTTGACCTCAACACCAAGGAAGTAACCAAGCTCACCCAGGTCCTTTAAGGAAAACTTCCTGTCGAGCAACCCAACAACCTCATCAACAGCGTCACTCGACTCCCCTGTAATTATAATATCATCCACATACACCAAGATCAACGTACGAATTCCACCAACTTGTCATACGAATAATGACGCATCAGCTGTTGTACCACATAACCCCAATTCCAGTAAAAACTGACGCAACTTTACATACCACATTCGTGGCGCTTGACGCAACCCATACAACGCCTTTTTCAACTTACAAACCAGCCGAGTTCCATCACTCGCCATTTGTTCAAAGCCTGGTGGTTGCACCATGTAGACTTCTTCACCAAGCTCACCATTGAGGAAGGCGTTATTCACGTCCACCTGCCTCAAGCTCCACCCACGCGTCACTGCCAGTGACAGTACAACATTCACCGTGGTGGCTTTTACTACTGGACTGAACGTATCAGTGAAGTCACGACCCGGTACCTGTGAATACCCTCGAGCCACCAACCGAGCTTTATGCCTCAGCACAGATCCATCAGCATTATACTTAATTTTGAACAGCCATTTACACCCAACCGCTGCTCTCCCTTCTGGTAACGGTTCAAGCACCCACGTGCCATTCCTTACTAGAGCATCATATTCAGCAAGCACAACCTCTTTCCACTTTGGTTCTCTAAGAGCCTGACTGATCGTGCAAGGCTCACTAGCACTTCCTTTAACCTGTGTAACAAGCACTTTCGGTTTGAAAATACCTCGTTTACTGCGAGTGACCATCGGGTGTTCATTTCCACCCACTGAACGTGCTATGCCACCTTTACGCTGACCAAATACATCAGCTTGAACCGACTCACCCATCAGTAGCTCATCAGGCTGCTCTACCCGTTCTGGCATTACATTCGCCACATTCTCACATGTACTAGTAGCAACATTCTGACTAGATCGATCAGTACTACTACTGGAGGCAACCTCAGGTACTACCCCACTGTACACTGGTGTATGCCCAGTTCCACCACATCCAGTCTGACCATTCCTTGCATACTCCTGCAGGGCACTACCACAGACACGCCGAGCACCAGGGACCACCATCAGCGACACCCCAGAACCCAAACTTCCTGAATCCGTCAACCGTTTGTTATCCACACGTTCAGCAAACGGAAACACCTGCTCATCAAAAACTACATGGCGAGACATATAGATTCGTCCGTTAGGCGCTAAACATTGATATCCTCGATGACTTACACTGTAGCCCAGGAAAACACACGGTTGCGACCTATACGCAAGCTTATAGGGCTGAAACAACCATAAGTGAGGAAAGCACCTACAGCCAAATACCCTTAGGTGATCATACGTTGGTGGTTTCCCAAACAATTTCTCAAACGGCGTACGTCCTTGAAGTACCTTAGTTGGCAATCTGTTAATCAAATGTGCAGCTGTTACAACCGCAAATGACCAGAACTTCAAGGGTAGAGAGGCTCGAGCTAGTAGTGTCAGTGCCATCTCGAAAATGTATATGTGATTTCTCTCTACAACCCCATTTTACTGGGACACGTATGGACACGTCACTCGATGTTGAATTCCACACCGAGCAAGCACAGCCGAGAGAGAGCGAAACTCACCTCCCCAGTCACTCTGCACCGCTTTAATCACCTGTCCAAATTGTGTATGCACTAGTTGTTGAAACAACTGAAATGCTTGAACTGCCTGCCCTTTTTCTTTCAGCAGGTACACCCAGGTATGTCTCGAGCACGCGTCTACAAACGACACATAGTACTTAAATCCATTCGACACAATATGCCCCGGACCCCATAGGTCAGTAAAAACTAACTGAAACGGATTTTCTTACTGAGTTTCAGATGCACTAAACGGGAGCTTGTGGCTTTTGCCCATATGGCATGGAACACGTGACGGAAGCATTTCTTTATTGACATTACTTGGTAAAGAAATGTTACAGTGTTTACAAACTTGCAGCAACACCTTATGAGACGGATGACCTAAACGATCATGCCACAGTACATATTGACTACTACTACTACTAGACTTATGAGCCAAATTCGCTTCAGCATCTTTATTACGCCGAGCCAGAAAACCATCAAACTCATACAAGCCACCAGCTTCTTGCCCTCGCAGCAGCACATCACCCGACTTTTCATCCCGAACCACACAATAGCCAGCATGAAATTCCAAAAATACTCTGTTGTCCCTAGCAAGCTTGGACACAGATATTAACTTCTTAGTTATCGAATGCACATGTAATAAGTCACTTAGTACTAACGAACGAGATGCAGTGTGAACCGAAGTTCGACCAATTTTAGCAATTGAAAGACCGGCACCATTGCCAATAGTTAGCTTACCAGCACCTGTGTAATATGATCCATCCACAATCTCAATATCATCAGAGGTCACGTGGTGAGTAGCTCCAGAATCTACAAACCACGAGGCAGGGGAAGAGCTCGTTACGGCCACATTGGCAAGTGGTCTGAGTCGGTCTTGACTCTCCAGACCTCCTGAACTTCCACTTGGCTTACTTGTACAGACACAAGCATTGGAACTATAATGACACACATTGGCCGTAGGCAGCTGTTCCTTGGCCGAGCTTCTCGCATCCGG